CAGTAGAAGTCTTAGCGAGTCGTATCTCACGACTGGCGAGAAGGTCTCCGTGTAGTCGAGTCCCTCTTTCTGTTGAAATCCTCGTGCACAAAGTCTCGCTTTGTACCGATATGCGTTACCTGACGTGTCTCGTATGACCTTGAACACCCATTTCGAATCTATGGGCTTCCGATCCGATTTCCTTGGTACGATCGACCACGTCTTGTTCTGGTCGTGTGCGGCGAACTCTTCCTGAATCGCCTCGGCCCAATTTTCTGCCTCAGCACTGTTCATCGCCTCCTGAAATGTGTTTGGCGGATTATATTCAGCGAAGTCGATCTCATACCTTGTCGGTGGTCGGATGTTTGCTCGGTCCCGCAGTTGTCTGTTGTTTCCCGGTTGATTTCGATTTTCTTCTCGAGGAGCTGCCCATTCCACGTTTCTTTCAGGTTCTCCCTGAGCTTCCTGGCGTTCTTCCTCCTCTCGTTGTACGCAGGGTCCTGCTACGTCTTCATTTTCGTCCGTTGGGAAGGTGTATTCGAATTCTTCTCCCTTTTTTGTCCCAAGCTGCGACTTCTCGTTGAACGTGACGTCTCTTGATACAGATATTTTCTTATTCTGCGAGTTATACAAACGGTAATTCACCGAGTCGTTCTGATATCCAACTAAAATAAGTTTTGTGGCCTTCGGATCTAATTTCTTGCGAAATTGTTTGTTTATATGCATGTACGCATCCGATCCGAACACTCGAAAATGGGATACATCTGGTGTTTTTCCAAACCAGATCTCATATGGCGTTTTCTCTTTACCGATCGCCAACACTCGGTTGAGCCACAGACGAGATATATGAATAGACGTTTCACGTAATGTAATTTTTCGGCCGGAGTTTCTGGGGTCCCGGGACCCCATTACCATTTTCGTGTCACTCGCTACGTTATCAACAGATTCAGAATTTAACACAAGAGGAAATGAGACAGAAAATAAAATTACATAAATTTTATTATTTTTTAACGGAATTAAAGCTGTAGGGTCCATCATTGGACATTAATCGATTAATTTCATTGGAGAAATCAATCGATTAAGAGTATTTAAAAATTTCAAGATTATTAAACTTCATAAGGATGTATTTCATTGATACGTACACCGCAAATTCTCTATTTTTTATTTTAAATTGTAATACATCATTTATTTAAAAAATAACTCGGCAGAAACGTATTTGCGACTCGAAATCAGTTTAATCAGACTGTGCATCGGGGCCCCGGAAACTCCTCATTCCTCGCTTTCGCACACTATGCTCAATTGCGTGTACGTGAGCTCGTTGAGTTTCGCAAGAGCCGAGAAGAACAGGCTGATACTCGCTTTCCTTCTCGCTCTTGCATCGCTGACGTCGTTTACATTTCTCGAAAGCAACCCTGGCATCGCCAACCGTTCGAATCGTCAGTAAACGACAAAAGCCATCGTGACTGACAGACCTTACATTTCTCGAAATCGGACCTGGGAGCTTTTTGAAGATTCATTGACTTTCCATACGAAGCGACCATGCGTTATATACATATACATGTTATACATGCTAGGAACTATAAGTTGTATAACTTTCGTCGTATATCTACTTTCTAATAACATGGGAAAATTTTAAAATATAAAAAAATGTAAGAATACTGTAGAATTTTTGCAATGGAGAATTATTGAAGGAAAATGAATTGATTATATACATATGTATATATCGGACACATCCCTCGCAAACACGCTGCAAACATTAATGAGAACAAAACTGCAAATCTGTCCTTTTTTAAAACCCCGCAACTGATCTTTGACTCGGAACTCGTCCTCTTCATTTAGCAATTATAATAAACGTAGACTCATTAAAATTCGTAAAAATAACAAAGTTATAGCCATTTAGAGGGAAGAGTACCCAACGGTTAATAATCATACCAGAAATTTTAAATGAGTTTTTCTCGAAACCATATTTTCAAAATTGGCTGACATGATATCACAAATTCATATTGATTAATGGATTTGAAATTTATAGAGACATGCCTGTATGTTAGAAATTTTGCCTTTGACGGTTCTGGGGTAAGTCCTGTGCCGTTCCTCACAGTGCTCTTACCGGAAGGTCCCACGCCTTCCCCACTCCGTGGCCAGATCCTTTAGGACAAAGTCTTCATTTTTTCCAGCAGTACGACGTCAGGTCGTCTGCCTCTTTTAACTACTCTCTCTCCATTCATAACAATCAATGCCTCGACACGCGCTACCTGGAGACCCAACGCGGTCGTCCGCTATCGCGTCACCCGTTTCCAGGCCTGTTTAGTCTCATTCGCTCTTTAGGCCACATGCACCCCAAAACTCTGTCATAAATGTATCGTAGACTGAGCGTCCTTCAGTGGTCCTTACATTCGACTCTCTTGGAAAATACATTGTCGCTAGCGTTTCTGGAAAACAAAAGCCGATCCCCTATTTCGGGGGAATGTCCACGCGTCGCGTCCAACCATTGTTGCCGTGGCGAAATCGACTTTTTTGCCTTCGCCTTCGAAAAACATTAAGCAAAAGAGTTTCCTTCATTGTAAGAACAAAAATTTTCCAGTCCTTTATTTTCAGTAGGGGCGGTGTCAACTTCCATTCATTTTCATATGATTGATTTTAATGAGTCAGCGTTTTTTTAAATTGCTAAACAAAGAGGACAAATAGGACAGTATTCTTAAATATTTTCAGATTTAAAAATTGAAAATTACAGTGAAATTTATTCGGTTGTTTAGACCCAATAGTATTAATAGTATAAATATATGAACGCTCGTTCATATTTCATAGCATAGTAAAAAATGTCTTTTTTTTAATAGTTAAAATATGATCAAGGGGTCCTAAAACGTGTATTTCCGTAAAAAAAATTTTTGTTTCATTATGGTATTTTGCTTATACATTGTATACGCCTACATAGGTCGGAAAGTCAAAAATGCCTGGGCAGTCGAGAATCTCGGCTCGAGATTATGCGAAATCGAATTTCGGCTGTGTTAAGAGCAAGAAGGATAGACTGACATTCGCCGCCTTTCTCGAATCCTCGAAGAGATACGAAAACGCCAGAACTCATATACAAGGAGGTTGGCATTAGTGTATGTAAGTGGCGGGGCAGCTCCCTTTGGGCACGGGTCTGCCATCTGATAATACTGCACTGTCTTTTTCAATTCCCCCCATAGTCAACTCACATGTATTCACGCACGCACTACAGCTGGCTGCCCATCAATACTAATTCAGTGCCTAGTTTTTCAACTGACCGCCATCCATGAGAAGAGGCCGCTAAAATCACCTCCGAATTTTCAGGTCGGTATGGCAGTCAGATTCGGCCGCGAAAGTCCATAAGGTGAAAGGTCTATTCATATATCTCGTCTGTGCCCGCAGTACCGAGTCGTACTCGATATTCCCTGGGGGCTGGGGTCCTGGGGTGGAGGGTCGGTAATTAGGTCGGTAATTAGTATCAACGGTCGGTAATTATTATCAATGGTCGGTAATTGGTATCAATGGTTGGTAATTATCAGAAAGAGGTAACAATGGTTGGTAATTATCAGAAAGAGGTAATTGTCAGATGTCGGTAAAAGGGGGGGGGAAGAAATTAGATGTCTTTTTACTATTTTTTATAAAAGTGATATATTTAATCTTTTATTACAATTCAGTGAGAGTATAAATTATTTGGTAATTATCAGAAAGAGGTAATTGTCAGATGTCGGTAAAAGGGGGGGAAAGAAATTAGATTTTTTTGCTATTTTTTATAAAATTTATATATTTAATCTTTTATTACAATTCAGTGAGAGTATAAATTATGTAATTACAAAATTAGATATATTTTTTATTTAATTATTAATAGCATCGTATAACATATTATCCACTGCAAATGTCAACAGCTCGCAATCCGCAGGAGAATTTTTATCATAATATTCATGAAGGATTTTGACGGCCTCATGTTTATGCGCAATACTGTTCCGGTTTAATATAGTTACAAATTGTTTATATTTCTCGCTGACATAGAGCGTATTTTGACACAACCACGAATATGCGTGCTCGACACACAGTTGCAGTTCGAATAAAAATAATACAGTCGATGGTTTCATATACATGCAGGCATCATACAATTTCATTTGCACAAGGTTCATGCCACGCATTGTAACAACCGTAAGCACCAAATCACAAATCGTTAATGACGTTGGAGAAGGAGCTGATTTTACATGTTGTTCGATATCCACGCGTTTCTGGATCAATGTTGTCCATGTCGAGTGTGGCAACAACAACACATTTCCTCGAGTATCGCCAAGAATAATTTCCACAGCGGACACAGGTCCTACCGCGATTCTAATATCCAGGTACTTGTATGCCGTGGATGTGAGGGCATACCTCCTCCCCAGTATATAAGGAGTCGAACGTTGTTTATTGCTATCGTAACATATAGAAAAAGTATGTAAAGAATGAAAGGTAAGTAATAACGCTAAGGAAATGATGATAATAACACTTACTCGCGACTTATGCACGCCGTTTCGCGAGAAATGTAGTAATTAATGTTTGTAGAATCCAATAGATAACGTTTCACAACGACGGCGACGACGATACTATCAAAACGAGTGTGCAGCACACAAAAAAATGTAACGATGCATCAAGGGTAGCGAGGTGCGGGGAGAGGAATTTTTATGTCGCGTGTTCTTCTGCGAAAAGTGCAACTTTTGCAAAAGTGTTTTTAGATTACCTTGAACACGTCCAAACGTGCAAATTCTATGACATCACATTCGCGGTACGAATCGACCGAAGTCATGTGTATCATGCGAAGCGGGTGGGGCATAGTGAGGGGGGAGAGGAATTTTTTATGTCACATGTTCTTCTTCTTCTGCGAAAAGTACAATGTTTGCAAATACCATTTATATTACCATGAACACGTGCAAAAATGTAGACTCAGCAGAACGTATAACATTGACGAGCATTATGGGCGGCGGGAAAAGAAATTAGATGCCTTTAAAATATGATATATTTATTAAAGCAACAAATGATTATAAAACATTACTTTTATGGATCCATGAATTGTGCGAGTTATTGAGTCCTAGCCATTTTACGTACACACTGTTCCCCTTCTTACGTAATACTTTTTCAACCAGATACACGTCGGAATTAGCAACTCGTTGCAACTCGTGTTCGTAGAATCCTCCGGCAATTGGTTTTTCATAAGCATCTTTCAGCAGATACGTTGCAGGATTAGTTTTCTGTACCTCGGCGATTGTAAATATTTCAGTGCTCCAATTCGGTGTGTAACCTTTTTCAAAAATTGTCTTAAATTTGCTCACGCGTACCGCATCTCCCACTTTGAATCGTGCGGGAGCGGCAATCTTTACATGACTATACACCGTTGTTAAGAGCTTAGCGGCGTTTGTTGGTGTAACGTCAATTGGTCGCATACCAATAGTTCGATGCTTTCGCGCGTTGTACTTTGATACGAGATGTTGAATCGAGTCGATCCATTTGTAATTTCCATTAAGGGTAAACATTTTCCACATGTTGTTTTTGAGCGTACGATTAAACCGCTCAACGACTGATGCTTTCATCACTGAATACGTTGAATAATGATTTATGTTGTATTTTGACAAAAGTTTTTGCACATTTGCGTTGTAAAATTCCTTTCCTTTGTCGGTCTGCAAATTTTTCGGATACCTTCCGCCGTCTCGGATTATCTTCCCGATCGCAGTAGAAACCTCAGTTCCATTCTTGGTTTTGAGGGGTATAGCCCACGCATGCTTACTCAGCACATCGATAACAGTGAGTATGTAATGGAAGCCTCTGTTATACCGCGTGTAAGGACGCATCTCGACCACGTCCGCTTGCCATAGATCGTCGTATCCATGTACTATGACGCGTCTTCGGGGAAAATGTCTTCTCGCCGGAGCATGCAATTCTTCCACAAGACGCCGTTTCTCAATACTGGGGGTTTTCTTTTTCTCAGCCATGTATGACTCGCCACTGATGCCAAGACTTGACGTACACGTCTTATTAAACATCAAATCGACCTTCAAACGCCCCAACGTCTCGACGTCACAACGTCCCCAACGTCCCAACGTCCCCAACGTCCCAACGTCCCCAACGTCCCCAACGTCCCAACGTCCCCAACGTCCCCAACGTCCCAACATCCAGCTATTGATGTATTTGATTTCGGAATTCGATAATACCCCTCTCCAATTGATTCAGCTGGTCTTTCAAGCTCTGAACGTAATCTTGAAATATGATCATCTTCTTGTCGAATTCATCTTGCCGATTTTTTATAATTGCCATGTTTTCTTGCAAGTACAGCTTGTTGATAGCATCGCCATCCTCTACAGGTGGTGCTACCCGTCGAATCTTGCGAGACTTTGCATCGTAATTGGCACCAGCAACACAAAGAGCATTGTCACGTACATAGTTTCTGACTACTCCATTCCAGCGATAGTATGATTCCACTGTTCCAAACGATGACCCAAACTTGTTGATTGGCATTTTGATATCGATTGACAGCATCGTCAAAAGTGCAGGCTAATTTATAATGAGTTCTGCCTCGCGAAGCTCCTCGATAATCGATAACATCTCATTGTTATGTGCATTGTGACCGGCTTGACGCGAAGCCTCGAGCAGTCGAAGCCGATCTACGAGTTCGTTGGGATCGTTCCAGTGAACATAATCAATCCTGTTGCTAGTTAATCTCATGGAGCTTGGTATGCCCTTTCCAACTTTTTTATCTTTCAATAATGGCTTGATTACATAGTTATACTTGTATCCTTTATTGCCTAATGTTTTACCATACGAATCATGTTTGTACTTATGCGCACTCGTGGTCAGCAGTATGTCCCTATATTTGCGTTCATCAGCCTCAGTATAAATGTTGTCATCTGGAATTTTCTTAAATATCAATTCATAAAGGCCGGGCGTACCAGAATATCGTATGCCATCGATAATTATGTTATCGGCATTGTCCACGTCAACACGTTTATTACCAAGCATCGGTCCATCACTGTCGAGATAAACACCGTACACATGATCCATACCATCCTCCACATCACCGCGTAATACAGGCGCGATGTATTTTTGACTCAGTGGACCTAGGTGATTCCGCAACGTTTCTTCACCTTCCGACGTTTGCAGCCGACTTCGAACAGACGTCGAGAAACTGCTTTTTGGACTTTCAAAAACATCTTCGTTTGCTAAGCATTTTGGAAGCTGCATGAAGAACGCCCGAATGAAATATAAGACTTTTGAAACGTTGCATCTTAGAATTAGGTGGCGAGGAGAGAGATGGTGGAAGACGGATAAAATAAAATTGGAGAAATAATATATGTTTTAAATGATAATAT